TAAAACAGAATGACTGTCCGATACGTCCAAATCCTCCAACACACTGAGGACCCCTACTCCCCCCAGGCTCTGTCAGTTTAATGTTAACATGATGTATGGTCAGTCAGCCATTCGGAGAGGACCACATGAGGTGGGGGAGCCTCGGGATGCCGCCTCCAAAGATCCTGGCTCTCCCATCTGTGGCTGCTCCCTTACGGTGATTTGAATGGCACAGGGAAATGCCCCATCCATAATGAATAGAACTTAAAAATTGAGTAGTAGTCATTTAGGTCTGTCTGAAAGTTAAGCTCTGCTTTCCTTTCCAAGATCTGTGGCCCATCGCAGGCTGCTCCTCTCTGTTCAGATGACATGATGAAAAGGTTAAAGGACACCAAAAACTGGAAAGCATCAAACGTCAGACACAGTAATGCTGCTGTGCAGGAACTGAGCACATCCCAACCGAGATGCTTCAAGTTGTAGCAGCTTGTTAAATGGGACGGGCAGCAAAATCCTCATCGTGAGTTCCTGACAGGAGCCCCACTCGGTTGCTTATCTTGTAATTTTTCCTTTAAGAGATTGTAAGCCCATTTTCGACCAGATTCTAAAGATACGATCAAGGCACCACCGTCTCAGGCCGTCTGGGTCTGCTATTGTCAGGGGGAAAGTGTCTTCAAAGATGGGACGGAGGAAAAAAGACAAAACAAAACAAGATGTGACAGAGCAGTGTAGATGCTTGGGCAATTCCACTGAGAAAGTAACCTGCTCCGGATTGAATTATTTTCCTATGCAGTGCCCCTCCCCCTTAATCCGAGGTGTTTTTGTTTGTTTTTTTTTCCCCACAATTTCAGCTACTGATGGTCAACCTGGGTCCAGGTCCAGAAGCAGGTGATCCTCCTTCTGACCATAGGTCAGAAGGTCAGTAGTAGCCTAACGCTACATCCCAATGCCTATGTCATTTACCTCATTTCAGGCCATCATTTAGGCATTATATCATCTCACATCCTCACAAAAAGGGTCAGTACGATACAATAAGGTATTTTGAGAGAGAGACCACATTCATATAACTTGTATTACAATATACTGTTGCAGTTATTCTATTTATCACCGTTGTTCATCTCTTACTATGCCAAATTTATAAATTAAACTTTCTCCTAGGTATGTACAGATAGGAAAAAACACGGTGTACATAGGGTTTGGTACATCTGCAGTTTTGCTGGGGGGGTCTTGGAATGTATTCCCCTTGGATAAGAAGGGACTGCTGTGCTGTATTAGTGTGGGGGGGAATTATAGCTTAGGCTGGCATTCCTCACATTCTGTCTTCACATTCCCCAGCCTTTGACAAAAATCAGACAGAAGTCTTGGTGCCATTAGAACTGCAAACTTCATATTAACTCGAGTTAGGAAACTTTATCCTAATTAGGTTTTTTTGTTTTTTTTTTAGAGAGGGGGAGAAGGTGGGGGGGATGGGCAGAGGGAGAGGGAGACAATCTTTTTTTTTTTTTAAAGATTTTATTTAGGGGGGGGACAGAGAGAGAGACATAGCGAGAGAGGGAACACAAGCAGGGGGAGTGGGAGAGGGGGAAGTAGGCTTCCCGCTGAGCAGGGAGCTGGATGTGGGGCTTGATCCCAGGACCCTGGGATCATGACCTGAGCCGAAGGCAGACGCTTAACGACTGAGCCACCCAGGCGCCCCGAGGGAGACAATCTTAAGCAGGATCTACACCCAATGCAGAGCCCAACGTGGGATTCGATCTCATGACCCTGAGATCATGACCCAAGCCAAAATCAAGAGTTGGAGGCTTAACCAACTGAGCCACCCAGATGCCCCCATCCTAATTAAGTTTAATCTCTGTCATCTCATCAACATCAAGCGAGAAAACATGTACCTGGACCACAACTCTTGGCTCTACAGTTAACACTGGATAGAGGTTGAACAAATATTTGTTAAACAAATGAATAAATGAAGGAATGAATGATTTGGGTTCTCCCAACATTCCAGGTTGTTGAATGGAGAGAATAGGTTTTGGAATTAGCCAGATTTGGGTGTGAACCCTAGTTCCGCTGCTTGCTAATTATAATTTTTTCAGGCCCCTGTGGGCCCTCCACAGTGAGAAGGGAGGCAGCCCAGAGAATCTGGCTGTATTCATTTCCTATTGTTGCTGCAATGAGAGCTAACCACAAATCACCACAAATAGTGGCTCCAAAAACAGAACAAAACAAGCCAAACCCAACCCAGTTGTATTATATTTTTTTCTGGAGATCTCAAGTCCAAAATGGATTTCCCTAGGCTAAAACCAAAGTGTTAGTGGGGTTTTGTCCCTTCTGGAAGCTCCAGGGGGAGAGCCCATTTCCCTTCTTTTCCAGCATCTAGACACCACCCACATGCCTTGGCTTGTGGTCTCTTCCTCCATCAGCAAAGCCAGCAGTACAACATCTTTAAATCTCTTCCTGACACTTCTACCCTCCTTTTCCATCTGTAAAGACCCTTGTGATGACATTGGGCACCGCTGGATCATCCAGTCTAATCTATCCATCTGAAGGTCTTTACCTTAATCACATCGCAAAATTCTTTTGCCAGGCAAGGTAAACTACTCACGGGTGCCAGGGATGAGGACATGGATGTCAGCGGGAGGTCATAATCCTGCTACCACAGCAATCACCAGCCAGAGGCCGCACTTAGCAGATTTGTTCAACAGTGGCGGGTGGGAAGCACCTTCATTCCTCCTCAGGGTACCTCAGATAGTGCCTAAAAAGCACTCCCTAGGGAGTCTCCCGCACCATAAGAGCAGCGTCTACTTGTTTCCTTGGGAAGAAATCTAGCTCTGCCTGGGGGTGTCTCACTGCTCTTTCCACTGTGGGGCAATGGAATGGTCTGGGCTCTCCCTAGGACTCCTTGATTTTTGTAAAATAGGATTAGCTCCACCCAGCTTGGTTGAGTATTCACCTACATGGATGTGCACTTGGCTAAAAATCTTTCCTCTAATGGCCACCGTGAACTCAGTGTTGCACACCACCAATTAAATCTTGGTTGGGAGAAACACCATTCAAGGAGACCCACCTGAGAGTTGGACCGTCCAATGACACCTTTAAACTCTCCATAGGTTAAACCAGACCACATCCTTTTGGCTCCAGGATATCTGCTTTCACTAAGTGTTGCTTTACTTTGGTGCTATTAGATGACATTCAGGCACACCATAAGAAAAAGCATCACGGAAATAGTTGCATTTATTATAACAGTTTTGTGGAGGATGGTTTATTGCATGTTGGCCTACATTTCCTATGAGAAACAACAGAGAAATACTTCCCGTCTCTGAACCCAGGACTAGCTATGGTTTCCGCCACTAACTGTTTTGTTTCCCTCAAACGAACACCACCTCCTGTGGCTGGTTGTTTTTCCTTCTTTGCGTTCACCATTAGGAAGAATCTGCAGCAAAGCTTTAGGACGTGAGTCTGCATTTATGGGCACCCACTTCTCTTCCAACCTCATTGTCCCTTTCCTGTTTGCCTTCATCTGTTTCACATTTTGGATCTTATTGTTTTAGTGTCTAAAAGCCCAGAATAAGGCATGCTAAAAACTTTTTTTTATCTCCCAAGATTTTCTTCCCTTTTGGGAGACACATGCCCCTGATACATTCCTCTTTGTTCCAGGCACAAACTAAAAATGAAAAAACAAAACAAAACAAAACAAAACAAAAAACACACACACACATGAAAGGAAACCTCATCAGTGCCAATGTTTAAACATTGGTCCCCAGCAGAACTGGGTTCAGCACCACTGTAGAGACTGGAGCTTATGTTGACAATACGAAAACAAGTCTCCTGCACTTCGTATGCTGAGCACACAGAGACCATAAATGCCAACATTCTAAATGGCTTGCTTGCTGCTAGTAGATTCACTGGCACTGAAATCCATTTCTTTTCTAAGGATGTTTAGCTTTTATTGTATCTTTACTCATGGTCAGAAGACATCAGCACATTTGCTAACGCGATGGAAGGTATTCCTCATAAAGAAACGCACTTTACACCAGGTAAGGTTTTGATGGCCATAGAAAGCCAAGATAAGAAAAAAATTAATGTTGGCCGAACTTCCAGTGAAAACATCTTTGAGATAGACCCAAACATATGAGTTCATTTCTGAGCTCATCAAACCACAGAACCCCAGTACTGAGAGCAAATCCTACTAAAGGCTGTATTATGAACGTCTCTTTTTAATCTCTAACCCATAGAATCCAGAACATAGTATGTGTTCAGTAAATACTTGTTGAATGAATGAGTCATACCTCTCACGCTCAGAAAGACTCAAGTTCTACTTGGACCCCCATAGATCGTGATGGAAACACATTCCTTGCTGTGTGGCGGGTGTGCAGTAGGGACTGAATGACTGGCACTGAGACGTATCCAAACCATAGAAGAAATTTCTGCCATCCCTGAACTGCAAGGCAGCAATTTTGTATTTCCATTATTTCTCCCCTTATCAAAGACACACCTGACAGGTGATATTAGCATGTCCAGTGATTCTCACAGATATTCTTAGGTTTATGCCTAATTACCAGTGTGCTAATACAATCTCCATTCACCTCTCCCACTCAAGAAAATGTATCAGAACACAAACGAATAAGGATGTCATGAATATGGGAACAACCTAGAATCCATGGCAATTTATCGAAGAAGTAAGTCATCCACCATTTTGGTGTTTCAGATAATATTAGTAGTACATGACTAATGAGGCATCGCACAATGATTGACGCAATGGTCCAATGTGATACCAAGACTGAAACCATCTCTGAGACCCACTGAGTCCTAACATGCCATTTGGAGACCTCTCAGACTCCAGAGGCTCTTCCTACCCCCAACACAGTCATCTGTCTGAGCTCTGCCACGCACGTGAGCTTCATCCAGAACTGCAGAGATCGTCGCTACTAATGGACATAGTTCGCATGGGAATCTCACTGTCAACTGGGGATCCGTCCACTTTCACCATTATGATTTTAAGGAAGAGGATGCACAACCAACCAACTTACCACGCCGCCGCCAGCAGAGTGCACGAGCACAGACATTCCTTCTCGGAGGTTGGCAACTTCAAAGAGCATCATATAGGCTGTGACGAAGTTCATGGGGAATGCAGCAGCCTCCGAGAAGCTCATGTCGTCTGGGATCTTGTAGACAAATTCCACCGGCGTGCAGACCACCTCTGCCCAGGCATTGTAATTGACAAATGCCATGACACGGTCACCGATCTGGGAATGGGGAGGCACAGGGTTAATGGAAGCTTCTTACTCTTTTTTGAAAGATTTCTCAAATCCTTTTGAGAACCTAGGGGAAATTATAGATTTCTTCCCAGAAGAAAAAAAAAAAAAAAAGCAACCAAACCTTCAAGTATGCTCACTCTCACCTGCCTGCCAATTCCAAGGCACTCATGGATGCATTGTCCTAAGGACGTCACCTAATCTTTACAAAACCCCTATGAAGGCATGGCTGAATACTGTGTTCTTTTTATCAGTTGTTTACATAGCCAGACATCATGAAAAAAAAAAGCATTCTTACCTTTAAAGTGGTTACGATAGAGTGCCAAGTTTTTTCATAGAAAAAAAAAAGTAAAGGGAAATACAAATGAGTGAACTGATAGTAATAGCTTGTATGAGCTGCCAAGTGCTGGTGAAGTTGAACCATTCTGCTATTTGATGTTAGTTGCTTGGACTATGACTTTCAAACACAATATTCAAATTGCTGTGGTCAGAGTGAATTTTTAATAAATGAATGGCTTTCATATGCGTGTGCTTTACTTTTATATATTTATAACTGAGTCTCCTGTTTTATTTTCTCTGTAGCTTACTCAACAAACAACAACAAAAGCCTCCTATGAGATGGGTCCATAGAGCTCACATTACAGATGAATGGTTATAGATTTTACAGACATTGAAATTGAGGCCAAGAGAGATGAAAGCACATGCCCAAGGTCATGTAGCTAGGGAGTAGCTGAGCCAGGATTTGAGTCTCCCAAGGCTGACTCCAGATACAAATGATTAATTCATCACACCTGGGGTAAGCGCTACAAAGAAGACAGAGTTCTCAAAGGGTGTACACCAGGGGGACCGACCACCTCTGGGAATATTAGTGTAACTGTTTACGTTTTGTCTGCTGTAAAATGAGTATATTAGGGAACAGTCCTTACGGAAATGAAGTAACACAATATGCACGCAGCATACTTGGTGTGAAGCATGTAAGGTGAAGAAAGAACAATCAGTGTTAACTCTTAAAAAGAACAGACTGGTTTCTGGTCTCATGGAACTCAGAGCTCAATGATCACATGCTAAACACAGACCCACTGTATCTCACGAAGCAGAAGGAACAGCTGTCTAATGAAGGAACCGATGGAAAGGAGAGGCTGTCCCATCAGCAGTGAGTGTCCTAATCCCTGGAAGGGCTGAAGACCAACTGATGAATGTTGGGAATTATCATCTTAAATGCAACCGCTTGGACCAGAGGATAACCAAGGTCTAACACCGGCATCCTCTTTTGCACAGAATCGTGCAAACCCAAAGATACATAGCACCGTGGAGTAGCTGATGGCTTCAAGTGTCAACACAGAGGGCAGTGAAGAATAGTTCAACCACCTCGACAGTGATAGTCCCAGCCATCCCGGCAGGGCTGACCGCTCCAGGGCTCTCCTTCAACTTTGCGCCATCACTTCCTTATAAAAATGGCGTGAGTGGCTTAGCCGTCACATCAGCCCTAGCCTGAGTCCAGAGGTAGGCAGCTTTTTTTTTTTTTAATATCCAGTTCACCTCATTATTTGATTTTGTTAATAATAAAAAAAATAGTCCTGGGTGACTGAGCCCCAATTACTCCTATACTGCTGTGCCTCTGGAGACAACTTTTCAAGCCTCCCTTGCAATGCATCAAACCAGGAGAGCTATTCAGTGTGCTGCCCCGTGATATTCCATCTCTGACATGGTTGAAAATCTTAAGTCAAAATTTTAGGGGGACTATTAGTATTGGTTTTCCCCCAAGTCACACCCAGATTGGAAACCTGTAGGTGGCTTCTTTCATTTGTTTGTGCAGCTGAAAGTCACTGGAGGGGAGTGGAAGTGAAGGGTAGGATTGACAATAAGTAAGCCAGGCCTGAGCAGCAAAAGAGAGATCACATATAAGGGAAAAAAAATAATCAAGCATTGTATGTCCTCCTTCTAAACCAGGGCCAACGACATCCCTATCTACTGTTATATTCTAAAATAATGGATTACTTATGCAAGGCTCAGGATTAATAGTGATAGGAGTATGATCTTTTCCTTTAGGACCAGGTAGAGGAGTGAAGAACAGATACTATTTCTCAAATGCAGCACTTTCAGGGAGAGATGGTGCTGCCTCTGCTTATATTGCTTACCTGGGAACAGAAATGCAAAGTCATATGAAAGAAAGGAAGAAGTGCATTTACTTCTTTCTTAACACTTTACTGCTGTATTATCTGGAAACCAGTGACAAAAAGACTGATGTGTGGGATGAGATTTTCAGACATTCATCCCAGGGAATTTGGAACATACTGATATTTTCAGAGTGTATTGAGGCTCAAATGCACTGAGCCTGAGCAGCAGGCTCCAGTTCAATGCCAAGGTCATTTTGGCATTGCATTTATAGGATTTTCCTTTCTGCATTTAGCTCTGCAGCATTTACAGGTTGGGAGCAGGGGTGAGGATCTGGTGACTTGAATCCATGTTCATCTACCTTTCTGGCCTCCCCGGAAACAACTGTACTCTTCTGAACTTCATCTTCAAAGGGAAAATAACAATCTTTACCTAGCAGCGTTGTAGTAAGGCTGAAGAAGGATGACTTGCCCATGTTTCTGGTTATGGTGGATTCTCAAATGTTAGCTCTGTTCATTTCTCCCTGGGGAACCACTTAAGTTATGAGGAAGAGCTCTTGTACCTGATTGGCACTGGTTTTTCTCACTCCAAATTGCTGCAATTTTGTGCGATTGATTTGCCCACAGTTTTTCAGTTTTTAGAGACTGGATTCTATTTGATTTGCGTTACAGTGGTAGGAAGGGTCATATATCTTTTCATCGATTAAAAATTTTTTATTATGGAGAATTTCAAACACGTACAAAATAGTCAGAAAAATATAATAACCCTTTTTATTCCATTGCCCTCTTCCCAAAGCAATCAACCCATGGCCAATTCTGTTTCATTGGCAGGTACCTCTACCCCGTGCCTTTAAAATCATCATTCAAAAATGTCACTTTCCCAGTGTCTGAAAGAATCATTTATAAATGATTACTTAAATGCATCAGTTAAGTAGATATTTAAAGGAACCAAATTATGAAATACAGAGGATATTTCTCCCCAACCTCTATGTTTTGTAGTTGGTTTTTGAGCCTGAGGTGGTGGGAAAATGGGAGCCATGGGGAGGGTGAGGGGGTATGCACACCTAGTTAATCCAAGGCCAGACATTCTTATTAACAGCTGTATTACATGAACAAAAGGGAAGACAAATTTTTCCCTGGCCACTTCACCAGGCTATTTCCAGGAGCAACCAAGATGGTACACGAGAAAGGCATGAGGCATGTGGAAAATCCTATCACTTATAAACGTGTTAATAAAACCTACCAGTAAGATGACAATAATAACACACACCATAGATTCAAACATTTTTTTCATTATCTTTTATATCTCAACAGATTCCAAATAGATATTACTTTTTTCCATCATTTTTTTACACATTACCTCGTATCCTTTCACGCTGTCCCCCAGAGCTTCAACAATCCCAGAACACTCAAATCCTGGCACCAGGGGAGTCTTGGGAGGGTTGTCGATGTTCCCCTGTCGCACCATCAAGTCAATGAAGTTTAAACCACTGTGAATGGCAAATGTGAAAAGAGAGACATTCAAAATGGAATCCAAGAGAATACACTTGGCTTGACTTTTCTTCTATCCCCTTCTTGGCCCTCTCTCCCTTCCCTCCATTCCTCTCTTGTCTTTTTTTTTCTTTCATGCAAAATAGGCCTAAGAGCAGTCACTTGACTGGATGTCACTAATAAAGCAAAAACAATTATCTCTACAGACAAGGAATGCTTTCCTGGCAGTTAGAATAGTCACTGCAGATGTTACCCTCTGGTTTAAAAGACAGCCCCTTTGCCCTCTCTCAGAGCCTGCTTACTCCTACTCTAACAACACATATTGGCTGGCCTGGTCATTAGCCATGCTAGCACTTCCTGAAGAGTAAAGAATATACTAGGAAGAAGTTATAAGAAGACTCATGGAAAGCAGCCAGACACAATGGCCATCAGCCAATCTATGAGAAAGAGAGAGAGAGAGAAAAGGCAAATTTAAAAGGTCTCAAAACAACTGTCACTGATCAGTCAGCACACAGATTCCTCCCAGTACTGTGCCATACACAGTGAATATGAGCGAATATGAGCCATCAAGGGACTACATTACATCCAGCCGGGGGACTTCACTAGAAGTGAGATCAAACAGATGAACCAATGGATTAATACTGGAGGGTTTGTTTCAAAAATCCTAGTTCTCTCTGGATGAGAAAAGGGACTAGGTTTTTTTCTATTAACATATTAATTTTGAAATAGGAAAGTTATTAAAATTTTTAAGCCATCACCTTGGAAAACCATATACTTGATTTTAATGATAACATCAATGCTCCAAACTGTTGTTTTCTTTTTAAGAGCTAGTCTTAGAAACCACTTTGAACACTCATTTACTAATCAAATGAGAAAACACATCCCACTGAACACGTATTTTTTTCGCAGGATGCTCTAATGTACTTCCTGTTTTCATAAGCCGCCATTCTAAGAAAGACTCAGGTTATAGGAACCAAACTCCTTGGTCTGGCCCAAGGTCCATTAGTGTATGGCCACAGCTTCTTTTCCAAGCAAGATGACTCAAACTACTTTTATTTATTTATTTTTTTAAAGATTTTATTTATTTATTAGAGAGAGAGAATGAGAGATAGAAAGCACGAGATTTTTTTGGGTCAGAGGGAGAAGCAGACTCCCCGCTGAGCAGGAAGCCCGATGTGGGACTCCATCCCGGGACTCCAGGATCATGACCTGAGCCGAAGGCAGTCGCTTAACCAACTGAGCCACCCAGGGGCCCCTCAAACTACTTTTAAAACACAACTTGCCCATTCCTTCCTCGGCCTCTTTGGAGCCTAGGAAACATCAAATTCTGCTTAGATCTCCTGGTCATCAGTGTCCCCCGTAGAGAATGGGAAACAATGAGGAGGATGACTTCCTTGAAAGGTGGGTTCATGGGTGGCCACCTTCTCAAGGTTTTCCTGGTCACACATCTGGCAAGTTTCACAGTCGCCCCAGGTGAACTATCTCTAATGCGTGTCCTCCTTGAAGGCAGCTTCATGCCTCTTATTTCTTTGCTTCCAGAGTGCCTGGCATGCATCAGGCCCACAGCAACATAGTAGGTACTCAGGCAACATCTGCTGAATGAAGGAATATATTCATGAGTATTCTAACAGAGGTGCTGCCAGTGTGAGTACTAACTCCTTTCAAAAAGTGGCCATGGTATGCTCAGAGGAATGGACATATTTCTGAAATGTGCTCGTAGACTTCCAGAGATCCTACGCTTTGACGGTGAACAGTTCATAGGGTCATTGATCAACCAAATTGTCCTCTGATAGCACGGCCAGTTTCTTAAGAGCTTGGAGAGGCCTGGCCACCAATCCCGATTCCACCACCTTCACCCACGTCACCTTGGACCAGTTCCTTAGCCTCTGTGGGCCTCCATTTCCTGGTTGGTAGTACTTGTGTCACAGGGGTGTCAGGAAAATGAATGACAGGTAAACACCTAAGCAGGATGCCAGCTACAAAGTAAGTATCCAATAAACGCTAGCATTTAAATGTGCATCTTCTCTTAAGAAAGCAGAAGTACGTGATACATTGTAGGAAGACTCCCATTAAACAAGAGTTAAAAACAGTTTCAGAGCTGCAATGGGAAAACTTGGCTACCCACAAGCTTTGCTTGTGTGAAACAGCCCATTTTCCAATACAACCAAATAAATAAAGCATCACCACATAACAATAAAAGGAATTTCTATGTCCCAAATCAAGCACTCCATCTCTCGTTTCATGGATATTTTAGCTCACTGTGTTTTCCTTTGCGTGAAAACCTATGATTTCCCAAGACCCTGATGGAGAAATGCCAGAAGAAATTACTTGACAGTTCTGTAAACATGCTAACCCCTGGAGAAGGTTTTGTCCTAGATGCTTGTTATGCTATTCAATCAGGCTGCCTTGGACCCCCATCCAGCATGGAGTGGGCATGCTGATTGTAAACCGAGAGCCAGCTACTCAAATCCATCAAGAAAGGCTTAGTAAGACTGACTTTATAAAAGCCCATAGCATCCCATCCATTTCCACAGTGAGGCAAGCGGCAATTCTACTGGGGTCATGGAGAACGCCACCCATCTTCAGGAAAGAAACGTGAAGTGGGTATATTCCAGGGGATGGGGGATGGGGGATGGGTCAGTGTTCATCTCCACACAGAGAGGTGGTGAACAGTTGTTAATGGAGTACCTTTACATGTTGTACCAGACCTAGTTCAAGGGCCTGTCCACGCACCTGCTCCTGAGATGGATACAGCTAGCATTTACTGAGGGTTCAATTTCTGGCAGGAACTGTGCTAAGTGCTTTACTTCATTATTTAAGACTCAACAATACTCCTGTGGGGTATGAACTATCACACCCATTTTCCAGATGAGAAAACTGAGACTGAGCAAGAGTAAGTAACTTGCTGAAGATCTCATCTTTAGAAACTGTCAAAAGTCAGGATTTGAATGCAAGCAAAGTCTAGAACTTGAACACTTTACATACAATGCCTCTTTATGGGAACTTCACCCACTGGCTGAAGCACCATGTCCAGGGGGCCGTGTTTATAACTTATCTCTTTGACAGTTGATTGCACCAGTGGTGGGCCCATTGTTGGAGGAGTGGCCATTCCTAACCTAAGCAGGAATCCCTTGCTTCATACGAAATAAATAAGCTGATCTAAGAACTGAGCATTCTCTCAACTCTGAATTAGGAAACATGCAGCAAGAAAACAACTTATCGTCAGAAAGGACATCAAAAGATAAAACTGAGCTAGAGGGACCTATTGACCTGCACTCTGGGGAAGCAGAAGTGAGGAAGTCAGTAGGTAGGGAGATGCCTGGGTGGCTCAGTCGGTTGAGCGTCTGCCTTCAGCTCAGGTCATGATCCCAGGGTCCTGGGATCGAGTCCTGCATCAGGCTCCTTGCTCAGCGGGGAGCCTGCTTCTCCCTCTGCCTGCCGCTCCCCCTGCTTGTGTGCACTCGATCTCTCTTGCTCTCTCTCTCTCTCTCTCTCTCACAAATAAAATAAAAAGCCAGCAGGTAGGGAAATTAAAAGAAAAAGACGAAGAGCAGCAGAAGCAACCCAGCAGCCTGCCCCGGGGTGGGCTATACAAACTTTGTTGCTGGGTTGCCAAGAATGCAAAGGTCCAGTCTCCATACTTGGTGCAGCCCAGGCCCAGTGCGCCTCCTGCCCTCTAATTTCCAAGAATTCTTTTGCTACTCCACACTGGTCTTTAGAACAGAACCTCTTTGTTTGGGTTACATGTGTGGTCCCTGTCTCATGAAACCAAAAGACACAAAGTAAAACAAATACCATAATCAATAACCCTAAATCATCCACTGGACAGATATTATTGACCTCATTTTTTTTTTAAAACAAAACCAGTAACACTGTGTAGAGATAATTAAGTTATTTGCCCAAGTTTTTTTTTTCAGTGAAGAGTGAAGCCAGGGACTTAAACAGGGGTCCAACACTGTTCTTTTGCCAAACTCTGCACCTTCTTAATCATAGTTTCCAGTATTCTCTAAGATAATCTGATTTTTACTTAGACATTGTTTGAGGATGGCAAGGACTATTTTCTTGACCCGGGCTCACATAGAGGATAATCTTCAGATTTCTCTCTTACCTAATATTTATTTATATGGCTCTTAAACATTTAAGATTGTTGCAAAAAAATAAAATAGTGCTGGAATATGCTTAATAAAATGTTCTGCTAGGTAATCTTTTCTCACAGATTAGTATAATTTTAATTAAGAAGACCTTAATTTGTTCTTCCCATACTATCACTCAAAGCCTATGTTTAAAGAGTTATTACCAAGACATTGCAGCCTGAAGGAATGAAGACAGGTTTGACAAAGGGACCCCCAAAACCTCAAGGCAAAGGATGAGAGATGTGATAGAAGACACAGGGAAATGTAGTGATAGTCCCTTTACAAAATAAAACCGTTACATCACGGGACGGTGAAGTTTGCAAGGTGCTTTCACACACATCTCATAAAGCTTTGTATCAATCCCAGAAAGGCTACAAGTGCAGATGTTATTATTCCCATTAAATAGATGTGAATAAAGAGACTCCTTAGATAAGAAACCTGACTTGTCAAAGACAACACAATTAGCACATGGCAGAGCTGGGACTTGAATCAAGGTCTTTAAACTCCTTGATTATCGTGTATCCCGTGACACCATGAACTCTTAGATATAAGTAGATATGGCCATCTGTGCACGGTGGGGCCTTGGCTGAGTCTCTGGAGCCCTCCCCAGGTCTTCCACCTTGTTCACTTGGCTCTCCTTGGTCCTGCATGCTGTCCTTAAGATATTATCAAATCAAAGCTTAGGTAAATGGTGGGGGGGGTGACTGGGTGGCTCAATGTTAAGCATCTGCCTTTGGCTCAGGTCATGATCCCAGGGTCCTGGGATCGAGCCAGGGTCCTGGGCTCAAGCCCCATGTCAGACTCCTTGCTCAGTGGGGAGCCTGCTTCTCTGCTTCTCCCTCTGCCTCTGCCCTCCACCCCTGTGC